GGGATTCTAAATAATTATCATAATAAAGAAATTTCAATGAACCCTCTTTGCCCCGCTACCAGAAAATTCAATATAATTAGATCGTCGTTTCATCAATATATTTTCTAATTGATTTTCAAATTCTAGATAATTTATATAGCTTTCGAAAATTATTTTCATTTCTAAATCTAAATTGAAAAATATTCATGACTTCTAAAATTCGTAATTATATCTTATGAAGAGGAAATTATTTATATAAGGAATCTAAATATTTTATATAAAGATTGGAAAAAAATGCAATAATATTTGAATTATTTTAAATATATTTTAGTTATCTTGATTCTTGAAAGAAATTTATATTTCTAAAATTTAAAATTTGAATATAGATTAAATAATATTTTATTTTATTGAGATTTTTCTATATTTCTTCAAATTTCAATATTAGAAATCTTTATTTAATATTCAAATATATGATAAGAAATAAATATATAAGAAATATTCATTATATATATAAGAAATAGAACAGACTCACAAGAATATAATATCCAGGTATTACAAATAATATATTCTCCAAGACAAGTGATGGCAAAGGGGTTGGAGGTTCAATAGATTTCATTCGAGGAGCTAAGATGGTGCCTAATTATTAAGCAACCCCCGTAATCGCGAGCGTTAAAAGCAGGCCTAGATTGGGGCTTTGGAGGCTTTATGACCGGTTTAGGTTTGGGTAGAAGGGTTCAGGGTTTGCGAATTTCGTGACTCAGGTATTTGAGGCTTCTGAATTTAGGGTTTAAGAATTTGTAGGATTTATAGATTCGGGCCAGGATGGAGATTAAAATATTTTCAGATATAGAATTGGGAAATTAAAGCAAAAGCTTAGGGATTGAGGCTTCAGTGCCAGGTATTAGAAATTCCCCAGAATCTTCGAGTTTAGTAATTCAAGATTTGGGATTTTCAGAATCTCATTATAATATGGAGACCTAAATAATTATCAATATTATTTCAGAGATTCCGTATTATAAATATCAATTCTAATTTATTAAAATCTCTATATTATTAGTTTTGGATATGAGAATTAGATTCAGAATATTTAAAAATAAATAGAATTTATTCGATATATAAAAATATACAATTACATATAAATCGGATTAATAGAATAAGAAGATCTTTTAGTAAAATCTTATATTAATCTATATAATATTCGATTCATTCTATATCTCTTCAAATTATTTAGATAATTTATATATATTCTCTTCCTCCTCTCAATCGCCTAATCATATATCTTTTATTTTTATATTTATTATAGAAAATGATAAATTTCGATTATAGTTGTAATCAATAATTCCAGCAATTTTTATTTTTTGAATTCGATCTTAATGAAGATTTCCCAAAAAAATATTTGAAATTTTTTTAAATTTAAAAATCAATAGAATACTTAGAATAATTATATATATACCTATCTAATAAAGTATATAAATACCTTCGAAATAATATCTTCTTTAGATCTGATTTCATATTATTATAATATTCATCTAGAAATCTAGAAGAAAGAATATCTAATATCAATTAAATATCGCCATTCCTAGAATCACTTTTCTGTCCAAGCGTATTGAACACTACGACCCGTGCCTCAAATACAGACATGGTCGACCCCCAAGTGTAGCACCGTGCCCAGACTGGCCACAAACTCGTTCATAGCCCGTATCACGCCAAGAAAGTAGTCGTGTCCGGCAATAATATCTAATTCAAGATTTGAGAACTTCAGAATCTCATTATAATATAGAGACCTAAAAAATTATCAAAATTATTTCAGAGATTCCGTATTATAAATATCAATTCTAATTATTAAAATCTCTATATTATTAGTTTTGGATATGAGAATTAGATTCAGAATATTTAAAAATAAATAGAATTTATTCGATATATAAAAATATACAATTACATATAAATCGAATTAATAGAATAAGAAGATCTATTAGTAAAATCTTATATTAATCTATATAATATTCGATTCATTCTATATCTCTTCAAATTATTTAGATAATTTATATATATATTCTCTTCCTCCTCTCAATCGCCTAATCATATATCTTTTATTTTTATATTTATTATAGAAAATGATAAATTTCGATTATAGTTATAATCAATAATTCCAGCAATTTTTATTTTTTGAATTCGATCTTAATGAAGATTTCCTAAAAAAATATTTGAAATTTTTTTAAATTTAAAAATCAATAGAATACTTAGAATAATTATATATATACCTATCTAATAAAGTATATAAACGACTTCAAAATAATATCTTCTTCAGATCTGATTTCATATTATTATAATATTCATCCAGAAATCTAGAAGAAAGAATATCTAATATCAATTAAATATCGCCATTCCTAGAATCACTTTTCTGTCCAAGCGCATTGAACACTGCGACCCGTGCCTCAAATGCAGACCCACCAGACATGGTCGACCCCCAGGTGTAGCACCGTGCCCAGACTGGCCACAAACTCGTTCACAGCCCGTATCACGCCAGGAAAGTGGTGGCTATAGTCGTGTCCGGCAACAATACCTCCTTGCATAACCTTCGGAGCCCAGGAAAGTATATCTTGGTGTGCGGCCTCGTATGTGTGCAGTGCATCTATGAACACCAAATCCAATGACTCGGGTGGCAGCCGTTTAGCTGCTGCTTCTGATGTGAGTTCCCAGAGGTCGCTCCGATCCCCAAATATCTGCAAATTGATACGGGCCTCTGGTAGAAGTTGCTTGTCAACACTAAGCAGGTGCAAGCAAGGCAAAGTGTGCAGCAGGTGCCTCGCAGTCATCCCTTCTCGCGTTCCAACCTCCACTGCACGCAAACAGCTTGAGCTTGGCGTCCATGGCTTCCTGGTGAGACTCCCATCAAGCAAAGTACGAAGCACCTGAGCGCGGTTGTGTCGACCTCCACAGTGTCCCCCATCGGGGTGGAAGATAACATGACGAGGCTCTGGGTAGCCTTTAGTGTACTCCACCATGAAGGCATAGTAAATCTGCTCCATCAAGTCCTTGCTCTGCTTCCGGAAGATCTCTGCCCTATCGCGAAGAAGCTTATCAGCAGCGAAGCATGTCAGAGCTATGGAGGGAAGGGTGGTGAGAAGAGCGGCAGCATCATACACTAAACTCATGGTGCTCTGCACCGTCAGCGTATCAGGTCTGAACGGGCTGAGCAGATGATCCTTGACGGACATTCGGCGCCTGAAGTGAGTAAAGAGTCTACCAGACCGATTCTGAGCCGCATTCCAAGCATTCCTACTCATTTCAGTGCCTCCTGTGCACACGGGCAACTCTGGACAAAAGTTCTTTGGCATCTGCATCATCCGTGGAGTTCCCCCGCACTCTGGTGATGATGTGAGCGCAATGGTCTCTACCTTCGGGAGGACAAGGTTGAGAGAACAGGAATAGAGGACCTGGAGATTCCAGAACAAGAATGCCAGGAATTCAGGGGCGCTGCTCTGCGGATCCCACTTCATTGGTACGTCGGCTTGACCTTTCTTGGCCACCAACGCCTCGAAACCAGTCGCGTTGTATCCAAGCTCAGGCCAATACCAATCTTCGTACATGAATACGTTTGGAGTTTGGACTGACAATGCCCGTAGCAGCAGCGCAAGGAACAGCGGAAGTGCATTGCCAGGCCGCATTCTCGCCACTCTCAAGCCTTCCCCATGACCCTAAACCCTAAACCCTAAACCCTAAAACTTAAACCCCAAACCCCCTACTCTAAGGCCTCCCCCATGACCCAAAACCCTCAACCCTAAACCTTATAAAACCCTAAACCCTTCTCTGAGGCCTCCCCCGTGGCCACCACTTCCTTGAGCCCGGCCGGCAGCACAACTCGCAACCCACCCTCCTCACACCAAACTATAGAATAATAATATAGGGGCCTCAATTAATTAGAATATGGTTTTGGTGGTATCTTCGACTACAAATATAATAAGGAACCCCCAAAATAGTATAGGTAATTATTCAGGCCCTTATATTATCCCCCCCCCCCCAACAAAACCCTTTCCGACGATTAGGGCCTTTATATTAAGTAACCCTTTGGGAGTTAGGATTAGGGGCACCCTTTGGGGATATAGACCCTCTCAACAAGGCCGCCTTTAAGAGAGCCATAAGTAGGGTTAAGAAGGGGTCCCCTTTAAGGGGTCTCCCTGATACTACCTAGGACCCTTATAGATCCCCCAAACCCTAAGAACAGGCGCCATGATGGCTGGTCGACTATTGACCTGGCGCTTTGATCGTCAGGGCTTGCAGGTTCGTAGGCTCTTCGGCTTAGGGTTTAGGGCTTCGGGTTTAGGGGTTTACGGTTGAGGATCATGGGACTTAGCACCTAGGGCTATAAATAAGGCAACTAGGGTCTACTTAGAAGATCATGCAAACTTAGTAAGTAGGGCTATAAGTAAGGTAGCTATAGTTATAATCGCTCAAAACTCCAATTAAGGTACTCAGAACCTTACTCACCCAGTCCGAACATTGAAGGGTTGCTGTTGGTGGTTTTTGGGACAAGGAAGGCTCCTCGCAAGAGAACCAAACAAACACCAAAGTCAACACTGCGGAGACACAGACGAACTACGAACGCCGCGGCCAATCTGCCGGCCTAAACCCTAAACCCTAAACCCTAAAACCCTAAACCGGCAGCTCGTCCTGATTCTTGGCAAGATCAGCAACGACTGTTAGAGCATCCGTCTCAACTCTGATGCATGCACTCCTGGATTTAGGGTTTAGGGTTTAGGGTTTCCTCACTACTCCTTACTGCTGCTACAAGTACCACTGCTCAGCGACTTTTGTGTCCAGATTTGGCATCACCCCTCGGAAGTTGAAACCGGCAGAGCGGCTGCTGTGCTCTCCGGCTCTTGACATACTGCATGGTTAGTTTTCAATATTAGGGTCCCTTCTAGGGTCCTTTTTATAAGGGTGCCGTACTACATTGGGGACCTAAAGAAGGGACCCTAATTTAGAGAGCTACCCACATGCAAGCCCCAAGCCATGTTGGCTTAGTCGGCCATGGCCTTGCTCTTCTTTCGGATCTCGGGCTCCATGCTGTAAACCCAGAGTGCAATGGATGCGAGCACACTGGCAAGCCAATCGTTCAGCGACATGATCTGCGCCCCACCTCCTGCCAAGAAGGGGATCATGCCGAAGACATTGGTGAGGTCCATGCAGAGCACTGTCGCAACTGTGGTCCACACCGCCGAGAGATATTTTATAAGGCATATCCGGAGCACAACCCAACTGACATTGAAGGCTAGGTAGATGACATACCAGAAGACTGGCGATGGATTGGATGCACAGGCTTCGTCGCCGGGATGTGGCACATTGCCAAGCATGCAAGAGCATGTGTCGAGAAGAGCTTGGAATGTCTGTCCCGGAGGTAGCTGCTCCTGCCCAGGCAACTTGATCCAAAACAATGGGACACACAAGATTCCCCACAGCACTTGGAAAACTCCCGACCACCATGTCGCATAGACGACCTCCACATCACGACCCTGGAGCACATACTGCTTGTAGACACTGCTTGCGGCAAGGGGGAGAATTGAGAGCAAGAACATGCCGTACCACAGAAGCATTTCCCCGGCCGACAGCTGATAATACATGCCATGAGCTCCTTTGTATGCGTACAGGCACTTGTTCTCTTGCGTCCCTGCTGGTGAGCAATCATTGTCTGACAGCTTGTTCGACAAATCCACAAGTACCGACACCACGACTAAGAGGCCGCTAGCGTAGTGGACCGGCCTATATCGCGTACCCAGAAAAGCTGCAGAAAGTGCGGCCATAAAGATGATAAGAGTGTTAGACATGACCGTCATCATGGTTTGTGATATGAAAGCCACGGAGGGTCCCTGCATGCACGTGCAAATCTGGTCCCCCAAAGAGAAAAGGCCAAGCTGCCACACCGGGATCGGGCCTCCGGAAGTTGCTGTTGGATTACCCGGACATAGGAAACGCCTCGTGTACCCCTTGTGGCCCGCCCGCCTCATGAGCCAGATATACGGCAACATGTATGCCAAGTTGAAAAACTGCGTAGTCACTGGCCAGATGATGTTCCACAACATCAGATTGTATGTGGGATCGTGCATTGAGTTGGTCACCCTCTTCATGAAGACGCGATCAGCGGCCTGCAAGACTACATACCCGATGAAGACAAGGAAAACCAACCTCTCATAAGGCTCATGCTTCTCTGCAGCGTGACCGTCACCAATGAAAGAGTCGTCCGAGTCGGCGGCTGAGGAACTGTCATCCATGTCAGCATAAGTCATGGCTCGGAACCCGTGGTCGCTAGTATTGCCACTGTTCCTTTCTTGTCAGCCGCAAATGTTGCTCCTTTCCCTGCACGCATAGCTACTTCTCATCAGTCGTTTCTACTCATGCCACGTGCTTTCCCGCGATCATCATCATATGGGGGGGCTTCCGAAAATAGGGGACCCCAATATAGTACCCTAAAAAGGTAGGATTCTTATTATAAGGATCCCAAAATACGGTACCCCTTGTTTTCGGAAGCTCCCATATTCCTCACACTTAGCATGTCGGGGCTCGGACTCACCATCCTGGCTGATGCGGCAGTTGCTTCGCTGTTGCCTCGTGGCTAATGCAGGGGCCTTAATAATTAGAATAGGGTTTTACGGTAGATCATACTTCAAGTATAATAAGGAACCTTCAAGAACAGTATAGGTAATTATGAAGGCTCCTAGAATGCCATCTTTCCATCCTGGCTTGTGCACTCGCCTCATGCCTACCACAGCCATCACGCGCTCTGCTGCCATGGTTGGAAGCATCTGTGTTCTTGCACTCTCGAAGACCACGTTTCTAGCAACAGTCGCAGGACGTGTTTAGAGCAGCCTTAGAATGGGAATGGGAACCCCTTACTAAACCCTAAACCCTAAACCCTAAACCCTAAACCTAAACCCCCCTTATGGTACCGTCATGGAACCTATCGGTTCCTGGACTCGATGCTGCCGGAAACAGGTTACGGGGTTTAGGGTTTAGGGTTTAGGGTTTAGGGTTTAGGGTTTAGGGTTACGGGCGCGGCGCCTTTTTTTGCTGATCTTGGGAGCCAAACGTTGCTCTAGTCGGCAGATTTCTCGTCACCTTTGGAGACGGCCTGCCTATGCTAGCGGTAGAGACAAAGGAAGAGCTGCTGACAACAAACCCAAACCCCTAAACCCTAAACCCTAAACCCTAAACCCTAAACCCTAAACCCTAAACCCTAAACCCTAAACCGAAACCCCTAAACCTTAAAGCCTAAAAAGCCTAAAGCAGCAGCTCCGATCCAAGAAGAGTTGAAGGGACGTCTGGCCTGAATCGAACTCGCATCATTCGGCCCTTTGATTTCAGGTATCACAGGCATGCGAGATTTACCCAGCATACGGTTGATGATATAAAACCTGCATATTATACATAATGAGGAATATACCATATTTCCCATAGTTCAGAGTCCTGAAGGAAATGCAGGATTTATATCATAGTACTAATAAGCTCGGCTTAGGCTCTGGCTTATTCAAGCAGGCTCTTCTAGCCGAGTCGATCTCTGCATGCCTGCGCTGGCAATTTCGCAGCCAGTGACTACCAGAGAAGCTAGGTAGGAAATGGGAATAGGGGTTTCAGGGTTTCGGGATTTAGGGCTTAGGTTTTGGGCTTCAGGGTTTAAGTTTTGGCTTTAGGGAGCGCCGCATGCCAGCTTGCTTGCGAAGCAGGGGCAGCTGGGCTCCAGCCAACCCAAATACGACAACCTTAAACCCTGCAAACCCTTAAACCTACAAACCCTAAATCTTATAAACCCTAGACCCACTTCCGGTTCCCTAAACCCTAAGCCCTAAACCTTAAACCCTACAAACCCTAAGTCTTAAACCCTAGACCCACTTCCGGTTTTCTCATCGCGTGGTGGCCATGCGATCCTCAAGGGAGGCACCAGGAGGCATCTTTAGCAGTTTCGGGTTTAGGGTTTGGGGGTTTAGGGGTGTAGGGTTTAGGGAATAGGGAATGATCGGAAAGAACAGCTGCACAGAAGTTTCCTGATTAGACTGTGGCCTTGCGGTATAGTATAGTAACGTACAATCATAGGTATATATATATATATATACATGGATCAGTACTTATTGTTCCGACCCCTTCATTATGATACCCCTAGACTCTAAACCCAACGAGTAAATCCTACAAGCATAACCCCCGAACCCCTAGTTAAGCCCGGAAGTGCAGGCATGTCCTTGTTGAGCTTTTGAGTGCGGGAGCGGCTTTTCCTGAAGCCGATCTGGGATAACTCGCCTTGGCCGAATGAGCTCAGTTCATAAACGGCCCTAAGGTATCCTGAGCCCAGGTACGTTCCAGGAAGAATCAGGTATGCACATAAAAACCTAAACCCCTAAACCCCTAAACCCTAAACCCTTGTTGTATGTATAGAGTACATAAAAACCTAAACCCTAAACCCCTAAACCCTAAACCCTTGTTGTATGTATAGAAAACCTAAACCCTAAACCCCTAAACCCTAAACCCTTGTGGTATGTATAGAGACAGTTCTTGCAGACACTGAGGTTCCGTACGAGGCACCAAAGATGAAGAGACCGTGGGTCCACATAGGACCAGGGCAAGAATCCCATCAGTGTTTCAGTGGAGGGTTCCCTAAACCCTAAACCCTAAACCCTAAACCCTAAACCCTAAACCCTAAACCCTAAACCCTAAACCCTAAAGAAGGTAGACCCCGGAGTAATGAACCCCCCCCCCCCCTTTGTTGAAGGGCCCTGGCATTCGGATCTTAACTGGAATCCCTGTAACAGGTTTAGGGTTTAGGGTTTAGGGAAGGGGAGGAGGGTTTCCTAATTTAGGGGACGCCTTTTTTTGCCTCTGCTGTGAGTCTCGGGCTAAACCCTAAACCCCACTAAACTAGGGCTTACCTAGACCCCTAAGCTGCCCCTCTGTTATACCCAAAATACGGTTGATGACATATCCTGCATTACCCATGAGAAGGAATGGACCCAAAATTTCCATAGTTCAGGGTCCTTAAGGTAATGCAGGATTCAGATCACCAACATTACTTATTCTACCACTATGAGAAACCTTCAGGGCTCTATCAAAGGGCACTTGCGGGGTCCTGGTAAGGTTTCTGGTTTGCACAGCGTGACGGCGTCTCCGTGAGTGAAGGTTTCGGATTGGAGCTCCCAGCAAACCCTCAACTCTTACGAGTCCTCAAAAGCTTCAAACCCGTACAAAGCCCCAACCCCTTACATATAAGGCCCTAAACCCCATATTTAACAGACTCAGTCTTAAACGCCTATTCGACCAAACTCAAACACTGAACCCTTCTCTTGCTTGTCCAGTATCCTACCGGGACTAAAGGTCAACTTCTGGGGTTACACAGGGACTAGAGTACCTCAAACAGGTTTAAGGTTACCTACTACCAAGTTTTCCCAAACTCTTCTTCCTGAACTGCTCTACTAGGTTTTCCTAAACTTTTGAACTCGAAGCCCTACGCCTTTTTATCTTCCCTAAACCCTTCTCCCTTAAACGCTCGACACCCTAAACCCTAAACCCTAGACCCTAGACCCCACCTTAAGAACCCAAAACCCACTTTTTTGTAGGTTCTTGTTATAAGCCTTCATATGGGATTTACAGGGACCCTACACAAAAGTAGGCTTCGGGTTCTTAAGGTAGAGCCTAAACCCTACACCCCCATGCACCACAAACCTGCAGGCAGCACTGGGCCACTGGTCACTGGGGGCCAGGCGCTTCTTTGCCTCGGCCTGCATAGACTTGGTGTATAGGCTTTTGGGGGTTTAGGGTTTAGGGTGTTTGGTTTAGGGTTTAGGGCTTTAATGTAGGGGCCTTAATAATTACAAAAGGTTTTGGGGTATATGACACTTTAGGGTTTAGGATTTGTAGGCTTTTGGGGGTTTAATGTAGGGGCCTTCATCAATTTGAATAGGTTGTGGGGTAAAGGATACTGTAAAAATAAAAAAGGAACCACCAAAATTGTCTTGGTAACTATTCAGGCCGTGTCTAGGGTAAGGATTTAAGGGCTTCGGGTTTAGAAAAACAGGAATCCCCAGCCACAAAAAGGGCTCCCTTTTTCACAGTCGGAGGGGGACTCGGAAGAAGGGGGAAACACTCCGAAGGTTCCGCTGTAGGTTTCTATTTTAGGGTTTAGGGTTTAGGGTTTAGGGTTTAAGGTTTAGGGTTTAAGGTTTAGGGTTTAGGGTTTAAGGTTTAGGGTTTGAGGTTCAGGGTTTATGGCTTTGAGCTTTAGGGCTTAGGACCTCGACAGTTTAGCGGTTTAGGGTTCAGGACTAAGGTTGCAGGGTTTAGAGCCATAGCTGACGGGCTTCCCACAATTTACCAGCACCGCTAGGCCTGTTCAGCAAATTCACTGATCATCTGCTTGGTGTTTGTGTCGGAGCTCTCAAACGGTAAGATGAAGATGCGTAGGATTGAGGATCCCTCTTTGAAGGACTCTCATTTTGGGACACCCTAAACCGTACTAAACCCCTACACCCTAAACCCTCAGCCCCAAACCCTAAACCCTAAACGCCTTCATCCCACAATTGAAGCCCTTTGCTTGTGGCCTGCGAAGAGCTGTTGCTAGTGCACACCGGAACGAGGAGCTCTTCACTATGAGTATTAGGGCTTAGGGTTTAGGATTGAGGGCTCTGGGCTTAGGGCTGAGGGTTCAGAGTTTAGGATTGAGGGTTTGGTTTAGGTTTAGGAGTAGGAATCACAAGATCCGACATCTAAGTTTCGTGAAGGCAGCAAACTCCTGGCTGGGGCCTAGAGCTCCGATCCTGAGCCCTTTTTTTCGAGATCTTCTTGAGGGAACGGGATTCCAAGGGGGGGCGTGTGCGAGGGAGCCGAAGGAACTTTAGGGCGGTGGGGAGAATTTGTCTAAGGCTGAACCCATGGGCCCCTGGTATGGGCCCTTAACCCTGGGATCCTTATACACCCACTATATACCCTATATATGTTTTACTTCTAACCTTAGATTTTGAGCCCGCCGAGGATCCCACAACTCTCGTATTTAGGGATGCAGCCTGGCAGATCAACGCGGAATGCAGGATGTAGGACTTAGTTAGGGCATGTTTTGGGTTGATGGTTTAGGCTATTAAGCGGGGGGGCTTAGGGTGACAGGGTTTAGGGATTTATATGGGGTTTAGGGTTTCAGGTTTAGGGTGATAGGGTTTAGAGCTATACCCTAAACCCTAAACCCTCAAAACCCTATGCTTAGCTTCAGGAACTGGGTGGACAGCATTACCACCAGTCCCACTCCCGGCAGGCA